TTGACGTAAGTCCTCCAACCCTCTGTGAGGTTGAAAAAGCTATAGGAAATCTGAAGCGAGGGAGAGCAGCAGGCCCTGACAGGTTGACCCCTGAGATTTTTAAGGATGGTGGTCCAGTACTAGCAGTGAGATTGACTGAGGTCTTAGGTAGAATCTGGGAACTGGACGTAATTCCATCTGACTGGTCCCAATCACTGATTATGCCAGTCTATAAGAAAGGACAAAAGTCCTCCTGTGACAATCACAGAGGGATCAGTTTGACTAATATAGTGTCTAAAATATTAGCTTCAATAATACTAGGTCGCCTAACCAAAGCTCGTGAAGAGCAGACTAGAGAAAACCAGGCTGGTTTTCGACCTGGACGTGGTTGCATAGACCAGATATTCACCCTACGTCAGGTCCTAGAACATAGACACAAATTCAGACGTCCCACAATAGTAGTATTTCTTGACCTTAAGGCGGCATTTGACTCTGTTGATCGTGAGGTTCTATGGCAATGTTTGTCACTGAAAGGAGTACCAAAGAAGTACGTTAACCTCAAAAAGGCTCTCTACTCGAACACAACTGGTCGAGTTAGAGCCTATGGCGAACTGTCATCAGAACTGATTACCACAAGTGGAGTTCGTCAGGGCTGTCCACTCTCCCCATTCTTGTTTAACTTTGTCATTGACATACTTTTAGAGACAGCACTTTCATCAGCTAAGCCTCCAGGAGTTGAACTCTTACCGGGAGGCTCACTTGTTGACTTAGAATACGCCGATGACATAGTTTTACTCGGTGAAGACGCTGACAAAATGCAGAGTCTTCTGACCACCATAAGCAACAATGCAGGCATGTTCGGGATGCGATTCTCTCCCTCGAAGTGCAAAATGTTACTTCAGGATTGGGTTGCAGCGACACCTGAACTAATGATAGGGAGTGAAGTAGTTGAGCGTGTAGACCACTTCACTTATCTTGGGAGTCTCATCAGCCCTTGTGGTCTGGTGTTTGACGAAATCTCAGCACGGATACAGAAGGCTCGTCTAGCTTTTGCCAACTTGCATCATTTGTGGCGTAGGCGAGATATCCGTCTAGCAACCAAAGGACGGGTTTACTGTGCAGCAGTTCGTTCCGTCCTACTTTATGGAAGTGAAACATGGCCGGTAAGAGTAGAGGATATTCGTAGGCTACTAGTGTTCGATCATAGGTGTCTTCGAAGCATTGCTCGTATATCCTGGGACCACCGGGTAAGTAATGCAGTTGTTAGGAAACGAGTACTAGGTAGGGATGGCAAATCGATTGATGAAGTAGTGAAACTTCATCAGTTGAGATGGCTGGGACATGTGTTACGTATGCCCGACCACCGACTGCCCCGACGTGCAATGTTTCATGGTGTAGGAGTAGGTTGGAAGAAAGCTAGGGGTGGCCAGACCAAAACGTGTCACAAATCAATGAAGTCACTGACAAGTGGACTGGGCCATGTTGGTAAGTGTAGACTACCTGGTTGGGATTCGCGAGATGATAGCAACCGATGGTTAGAGACCTTGAATGACATGGCTCAAAATCGTTTGCAATGGCGAAGATGCATCCACTCTTTGTGTTCTACCAAATTCTAATCTTCTGAATTTCTCATGTCTTTATGTTTTTCTCCTTCCAAATATATTTCACTGTACTATACTCCTTCAATAACATCTTCAAACTCTAATCTTTCCGATTACTGCTTATACTCTTACTAATTCTTCCACTATGGGATTTGAATCGACAACTGCATCTGTGTGATAATGTGGTATGGCAACTCGAACTGATGTACGTACGTACGAAGTTCTACGTTGTGACTGACTGACTGACTGGTTATGTTGAATTAAGTACCTCTTACATCAAAATATGTAAGTCACAATACTTTATACAGACAGTCATGTAGAACTTATGATCTAAATTATATGGAGAAATTATACTTGCCAAAAATTTTAAAATGGTAAGTTTAAACAAAGTTGTAAAGTGACCTTTTTCAAAGCTCTTTTTAATCAGAAACTAAGAATTATTAGCTTTGATTAGCTTTTTTACTATAAGTTCACTTTTAAGTTTCCTCTTCATGGATAAATAAACTTGTATATGGGTATAAATTTAGTAAAATGAGATAGAAAATTTGAGTAGTTTGAACATTTTTCGAAATATAAAATTCATTATTTCCATGAGTCAGATAAGAATTGTTAGAGGATTGAAGAAAATCAATATTTAGTCGTCAATTTGGGGACGATTACTGGTTTAAAATCAGTGGTTTTCATCTATTGTTGAGTGTTTCTTTTTACCCAGACATCTAACTTTGCAGTCAGAGTGAAACTGTGGTATGCGGTTTTGAAATTTGGACTTTATGCTTTGTTACTTGTTTCTACATTATTTGGTAATGACTTAAAGTTTTTGTCCGCTCTTTATCTTCTCATTGTCTAAATGGGAGTTTTCGCTTTAAATGAGTTGTTTTTGTTTCATTTTTAATGTATCTTAAGAAAGTCTATATTTTTTGTATTGTCGAATGGATAGACTTTTAAGTCTAGATAAATAGGTAGCTCCTTAATCGTGAATCATTTGAGACTGCAAAATTTTACAGCAGTATAAAGGAATGAAAATAACAAAAAAAATTAGGGTCGATTCAAGGTGTCTTCACAAAATTGAGATTGTTCTATAAACGATACAAGGAAAATGACTTAAAGACAATGAATCGAAATTCAAAACTGACGTCTGAATGATGGATTAATCTCTGTTGTTTCAGTTTATTTGAAGACTCAAAGTACTGATTTCAGATATTCGGATAGTATCATTTTTGAATACAGTATTTGATTTATTTTAATCGTAGAATGGATTCTGTTCATATTCGGACACTGTATGATCGTATTTAGTAAATCAATAACTTTACAAACTAGATTGTTATTCTTTCATTTTCAGCAAATAAGTATTCTAAGTATTACGAATTCCCTTTTTAAAGCTAACCTAAACTACCTTGACGATAAGTTAATGAATCTTAGGTACTTCTGATTTGATGTGTTACATTACGTATTTTAAGGAATAATCACAGTTTTCTGACTGAATTAATGATGAAAGGTTATATTTATTGTGTTCAGTCTCTCTTTAATATCAGTTCTAGATGTATGATTATATTGATGTTTTAAAAATCCCCAAAAGAAAATCTACTTGGTTAAGGCTATTACTCATTAATTGAATTGACGGACATCATCTATTTATTTAGCAACAATTAATGCTTTACAACAGTCTACTTTTACAGAAGTCGATATTGTACATCAACACCTCAGGTGATGCATATGTCTATCAAATATTGAAAGCTCACAAAGTAAAAACTATGTTTAAATGATGTATTTTACATTGATTGTCTTTACTAAAAGTAAATAAATCATGTTTGTCCTATCTATTTAGCCTCAGCCAAATTTATTGATATTTGTTATGCAATAGAACCAAATAATGAAATATCATTTACCTTTTATATCATAAATCTTTTAGGTGACTCTGGTTACATTCTTTGTATGAAATCAATTACACTTTATATTATCATAAGTAACTTACTTTATAAACAAGATCACCAATTAATCCATCCCATTTCCCTTTGCTTTCATCAAAAGTTCCAAATTTTTTATCACTAACAGGTTTGATAATATAATCAAAATGATTCATTTTGCTTAAATGTTGTAATAGTTCCATAGCGAATCCTGTCCATTGATCATTGCCTTCTAGATGTACACCTTGACGATATGGTTCGAATATTACAAATGGAGGATCCTACATTACAACATAATTAATTGTACAATTGGAACAATTAGATTTACTCTAATATTTCTGAAACAAGTGAACTTTTAAGCTGATTAGCTTCAAAAAATATTAATAAATGTGGTTTATTAACATTATGTTTTATTGTCTGACGTTTACTAGTATATCATTGAATATAGATGATTTCATTATAATCTAGTGAATCATGCAGCTTGAACAACTCACTATACATATTTATCATATTGAATAAAAAGTAACTGAAAATTTAATGATAACGAGAATGAGATCAATCTGTGATAAACACCACATGCAAATTGAATATTTCTTCACAAAACTCTTACATCAACACTAGATATTTCGTTAAATGTTCGTACAATATAATAAACGAACTTTGTGGAGACTGAAATAACCCGATGAACTAACCATCACTATTTAGTGTTACTGTTAGATAAATAAATCAACCTTTATTTAAGTGGCACCATTGATCAAAGCTTTTCACTACTACCTCTGAAAAACCAATACTATGAAGAAAAGTTTTAATTAAGTGATTCGTAACTCTAAAATGATTTTTCGATTGATTTCAGTTCATGATTTAAAAAGTCATTATATATTGCAATTAATAATGTGGTGTAATGATTGTTTTCTATTGTTTCTTGAACCCCATTATTAAGTGTAACTATTAGTTCAACAAATATGTAAGTAACCTGTGAACTTGTAAAAAATAGTTGTGAACATGAGAAAAATATCCAACACTAGTAAGTGGTTTCGTATATAAATTTAAATAAGTTTTTTTAATCAAATTCTGGCTTAAAACTATCATAAATTGAGTCAGTTAGTATCAATTCGACTTATGGATAAATTTTAATTAATTAGTTGACATCAATCTTTAGTTACATGTTCATAAGGTTGTTGTCTAGTCTTTATTTCACGTTATTTTATGAATTCGATGCAGTTACCGTTTTTACTACTATATATTAAACAGTAATTGACAGATGCTTGAGTTTTTAAGAAAATATCAGTTACTTCACAAGTGTAGATAGGGCTAAATAAATAGAACGTGGTCAGTGCTTATGGTAAAATCACGTGATACTGGTTGATGTTTGTTGTTTTGTTTTTAGTCAGTCAGTCAATCACAAATAGTTGGTTTATGGAGATTTGCTGAAGATTGAGGTTGTTTTTATTGTAAAATTACTTTTATTATTTGTTTATTGAGAATAAAGGAGCACTTGATGGCTTTTTCTTTGTAGATCGTCAAATCACGAATAATCTTTAGATTACACTAGTCAAGCGTAATTGCATATCCTATGTTCGGTCCGCAAAAATGAAAATATGTAACCTTCAAAAGTTGGAACACCAGCGAAACATAATCTCTAAATGGTAAAAGATAGAAATGTTTCTATTATATGTGGTATCGATCTCAGAAATCATCACAAAAATTTTAAAGCCTTTTAGGATCGGAATCACTCACAAGCCAACATAAACGTTTTACTTCATCATATGGAGGCCGAATATGTAACAAAGAAAAAAGAAAAAATGGGATATTGTTTAGGAAGCAAATACAGCCAATCGCGACGAACGTTACATTACGAAAAGTAGACACTGCTCTCTCCGAATATACCAACACAAACTTGGAGTAAAACAACTTGAAATTTTATAATTTATATCAATGGACGTAGAAAACCATGTGCGCAAATTTGGTTCAGAAAACATCGAAATTCTGCACCTTGGAAATTTTAGAAAGTTTCTGGGAATTTCCGAAAATATAGATTTCAGATAAATTTACAATGAATAGGCAATATTTAGCAACCTTTACAGAAAGTTTAACAAATCAAGTATCCAGAAGTCAACAGAAGAAAACCCTCAATTCGAATGTAATTACCACTAAAGCCGACAAAATCTCTGAAAACAACCATTTATAGATAAAGTCATCAAAACAGGTCAATTTATTGTTTATAGTTTAATTAAACACCACTATTCTACGGGAATTAAGAGCTAATGATATTGTCTAGAACGATATTAAAAGTTCCATAACTGAACCATATGGTTCACATGGCATATTACAACTAAGAACGTTGACTTGTAAATCAAACTTATTTATTTCAAGAATGATTGCGTTGGATATAGTATATCAACTAAATAAGTGACACTGTTATTGATTAGTTAAGTTCAGGATTATAACCACTCTTAAAGATTAAATTTTGTTGTGAAATAAATTTCTCAGTTAAATCTAACACAATATATCAACTTACTTCTATAGTTGTAACAATAAATGTTTTATTCATATGCTTCATTCCACCTTGAGGAAATGAAGTTTCAACTGGTTGTTTATACACAAATCCTCGCTTCAATGACCAGTCAGCTAGCTGTAAAAGAGAATAAAAGATACTTTGTGATGCAGCCCTGATTTTTAAATGCTTAATACCTAGACAAATACATAGTTTTAATTGTAATAGAACGCAAAAATCTACAATAATATTTTGCCTGTTGAACATAAATATAATTTACAAAAAAACAAATAGAGAAATAAATCTGTATTGATAAGCTGATTATATTACATAAATACTAAAGCTATTGGGATAAACAGCTGTATACCCAAATTTTTATTGCCGTCTAGACATATTGGCATACTATTTTTATTATTATCCAGTTATATCAATTATAAAATGAATGAAAATATCACTTTATCAAAATAATATAGAGGTTCTTACAGTGATGATAATTATGTTGGTTCTGTCAGTCAAACTTGTTGGCAATTATAAAAGCAGAAGATGAATGTATCTGTAACTATACTTCATCCTTTCATCATCATCATTATCATCATACATATATCGAACTTAACAAAAACAGTACAAAATAATAAATATCTTATAAACTCAATAAATATAGGATACAGTCTAATATTGTAAATAAAACTCTATCTAGTTGTTGATTATTGCTGTCATTATTTATCATCTTTTACATATAAATACTATCAGTAACATTTCAATCATAGTTTGTTATATGATTCTGACATTTTCGGTTTTGTTTTGGAAAAAATAAAAAATAAACCAACATGATATAGAAGTGAAAGAAATGGATCTGAAACATAGAAGGTAACAGAGGGTTGGTATTTTTTGAAATTGCTTATAGATGGAGATTGATAAAGTGTTGATAGGAGTAGGGAAAGATAAGCTAACTAAAATTTAATAAGTAAATGAACAAAACCTAGTCATTCAATGATGATCGGTGAATATTTTTATAAATAATCAAATGTAAAAAAACTGTTGAAAACATATCGCTTTAATTAAGTGACTTTTAGGCCTCCAAATAGAAAGAAGATTGTAGATACCTAAGATTGCTATCATTTAAAGAATTGGAATGTTAATGTTTCTTAACCAGCAAAAACGTTAAAATTACATCGTTTAAAGCTGATAGTCCACATGAAAATAAATTTTGCTCGCTGGTGACTAGAACTTCAAAAATTCTGCGAGAAGGCATAATATGTATAGTTCAAACAGGTTGAAAGTGAGTTAACTATCAATAATGACAGTGTTATAAAGTGTTACAAAGTCTTTGGTTTTAAACATTCAAACAAGTGAACGAGAACCCTGTGGTTTAAAAGGTTAAGCTCTCATCACAGAGGTGCAGATCCGTGGTTCGACCCTTGACGAGGAAGCCCTTGGTCATTATTGAGATATTAATAACAGAACTGAACAACTGTCGAGTGTTTCGCGATTTATAACGGATTTTCAAATTAAATCAGTCCATTTTGTAAATAAAGTAATTAAGAGATGTTCATTATATCGTATACTGTTAGTTATCTGGGTACAATATTAGCTAATATTACTATTGTTATATCGTGTGAACTCGTAATTTATATATGAACGTGCAGTTGGAGAAGGAGCGAATTTATTGATCGGACGCAAATGATACTTGAAATCGTACGAGCAGTCTTGGGTGCTGTTCGGTCCTTCCTATCTGCCTAGCCCAGCCAGTTGAGTCCAGAACACAAATAACAGCCTCGGCAATATGAATCATTATTTACAAACATACTGAGTTTTTATACAAACCAAAGTAATCAATCAAAAGAATCGTATGATAATAAATCAAAGATCAAAATAAAGCTAATGATAAGAGAAACGCGAATATGAATAGTTTATTTTCTTAACAATTGTACAATAGGAAATAGGCATAATACACTGGTCGATAAATAGTCTTTAGAGTTACCATTCATAATTCACTAGGGGATATAACACCTCCCCTTTTTGAGAAATCCGGAGTTGACATCCGGATTTTAAATTTCTCGAATTCATCGTCCCCCACGAAAGACTGTTGGATCCTCATGTACACAAGTTACCATTATTATGACATTATTGAAAACATATTCGTCGTATTTAACAGAGAATCCACCAGAACTGATTAGATCGTGAGGATTGACGACATTCTATTTGAGGTCACCAGCGTTTGATTCTTCTAAAGCAGTTTCCCTGAATTTACTCGGAACCTCATTAGTAGATAATGAATCATTAGGATAATCAGTATCTATGAAAGTTGTATTGGATTCTTGATTATCATTTAATGCATCCGATATTTTTCTCCCATTTTTATAAGAGATTTGAACTGGAACATATGAATCAGCAAAATAATCGGGATCTGGCAGAACAATTAGATAATCTTGATCATTAGATTCATTAGAAAACTTTTTGGCATCATGACTGGTTTGATTTGGCGCCACTGTATTTACTATACTGCTCGGTTTGTTTCCCATTTCTTCGTGCTCGGGTACCGCAGCACTTTCATAAGCATTTAGCAAGACATTGTCTTCCTGTGAACAGGTTAATTCACTGCTTGCACGTCCTTTTACTGGAATAACAGGATTTGGACCGTTTATAGGGCATGTCTCTGAAACAGGTAGTACTGGGCTGATCATATGTGACTGCTATTGTTTCGCTTAAATTACTGCTTTTCACGGATTCATAAAGGCTTTCCCCGGTATATTCATTCGTTCTGCAATCGTTTTCCAGCTCTGTACGCAATTTTGAAATTAATGCGTCAACTTCCGTTGCACCCCCAAAGCATGGGTGATTCAGCAGCTTTGCATGTAACTTGTCAATGAATTCCAATTGACTCTTTCTAAAGCGCTGCTCTTGTCGCTGGATTAGCAACTGAAATTGATCGGAAGTTAAAGCCATTTTTTTTACCACGTCGCCAGTTATATCGTATGGGCCCGTAATTTATAAGAACGTGCAATTGGAGAGGTAGTGGATTTTACTGATCGGCACAATGATGATGATATAACAATTATCTCACTTGCAACCCATTAATATATATAAATATATAAATGTATATATATATATATATATATATATATATATATATATATAGTTAGTGAATACATCTTTTGTCTTTAACAGATACTTGTTCACAATGTAAAAGAGATTATCATATATTACTTGTTTTATTAAACTTTCAAGTTAAGAAAGTCAATGTCACTTAAAACTAGAAAGGTTAATTAGAAAAAATTCAAGCATTCTATAGAATAGGTTAATTATCAGTTCCAAAAAGAAGAAGAACTATTCATCAGTCATATAACTTCTTTAAACACTTTTAAGTAGTCCTTATATTGTTATGTTGCTTCTTTTGATCTTCATTAATTTCGTGCATTCAACCCATTATAATTATAATATAATAAAACTGTTAAAATAATGTGGTAGATATAAATTGAAATTAGTTATGTTTTAATACAATATTGATAAAACAATAATATGAAATGTATATATATGAACATTAATTCATAGTTCTCTACCTGTTGTAATCTTCCATTCTTTAAATGTATCAACTCAAGGCCATAATCTAATATAGGATTAATTTTACTAGAATCTATATAACCAATTCGTGAATGAAGTACTTGCTAAAGCAAATGATTTTGCACAGAAAAATGATAAAGACAAAAAAATATTAAATTGAGTATTAAAAAATCAAAGAAAAAGAATGAAATTAGTAAATTTCAAATAAATTAAATAAATTTTTCTTTCTTCTCGAACTCAATCCTCAACAACATTCATATTAGATTTTCTTTATAATAAACCAATGTAGTAGTTTCATGTTAAAAAAATATATTTTCAGTGATAAAAAAAGTTAATTTTCATAGTTGAGTTCATGAGTCAGTTGAAGCTAGACCACCATGGAAAACCTGGAAGCACTGGACGACCGTTTCGTCCTATTGTGGGACTCCTCAGCAGTGCGCATCCACGATCCCACCTCGCGAGATTTGAACTCAGGACCTATCAGTCTCGCGTGCGAACGCTTAACCTCTAGACCACCTAGCCGGCATCCAACGTTGTTAATGTCCAACTTCAATAAAAATTATTCAATGAATTTGTAAATAAAATTATGATTTAAAAAAATTCATACTTAAAGCTTCTATATAAATAAAGTTTAATTCAATTCAGTACCACAATTAAAAATTGAAAAGATTAACCACTTCGATTTAAAGTTAAGGGAAGAAAAATAAATATTCAAATTTTCTATTCAAATGTAATGTTTTCATTTATATTGAACATTTTTTGATGAACAATTTATGGAAATCATATTTGAAATTGGACAAGATGATTAATCCAATAAATTAGTTTATTATATGAAGTTTGTTTGGATGTAAATGACCTATAGAGTACATTAGGAATTCCCAATTAGTGTAGATTATTGATTAGTATAGTAGGACAATTTTTTTTATTTTTTGACTTTTGCCTTTACAATTTACAAACTAATCACAGTATTATACCTTTTTAAAACAACAATTAACTTACATTAATATAAGTATGTAATAGTTGACCATTTTTATATGTTAAATGAGGTCCGTTTTTATGACTAACTAATAAACCTTTTGGTGTTTTTAATAAACTTGATCTAACTGGTGTACAGGTAACATGTTCTGGAACTTGTAATTTATTACCAGCTAAGTTCATTGCTGTTGATAAGTGATCAATTATACTTCGTATCATTTGTGTATGAAGCTGAAATGAAAGGAATAAAATATGAAAAACACCCAGTTGGTATAGTAAGATTGAAGAGAAAGTACGGGATTGATTCTAATTAATTCAGACAAATAAATGATACTGTAGTGAACGCTACTCTTAAAATTGCTTGTAAGTAGTATGGTGCGTAATCTGGCATCGCAGTTTTGGATGAAGTGAAGTGTTTCAGCTTGCGGAACACACCGAGAGATCCGAAGGGATGATTGAAAGATATGTTTGTGAATTATGGAAATTGTTTGTAACTTCTCACAATAATTAAATATTGCTCCTGCCTATTCCTTTCTTTTGCATAACTAATGAATTTTCGGCATGCATCATTTTGCAATGAGGTATTTTTTGATAAATTAACTAATGAATTTGCTGCTTTTGGTATTAGCTGTACTACCCCTAAAGCGATTAGCAAATATTAAGGCAACAGTAGAAGGAATATGTAAACTTGTGAAATTACTTTTCAACATTCATTATACCCTAAATACTGTTAACCCAGTCGCAAACTATTAAATAAACAAAATATGACTGATGAACAATAGACAAATAGCATTGCTAACATACAGATTTTCTTTTCGCTGACCTTTAATTACATTTAAATTGTGACAAATAAAAAAAATTTCATCCGGAATACATGTTTAAAGTGAGTGAAATTGTTACTGGAATACAGTAAAATAACATGCTGGAAAAAGTAATAACTGGATTTGTCAAAATATAATCGAGTATTAATTAAGCAACTATCGGACTGAGTTACTCGGTAACTTCACTTACGGTTACTAATAATCGTGGCTGTGTAATATTGAACAGATAAATATTTTGTTAAATCAGCTAGCTTGTTAGTCATTAATTCAACTGAAAGATCCGCCATACAATATTTTTTGATATTCGGTGACTGTTTGTTTCTTAACAAATTATCCGTAGGTTAATAAATTAGCATAGGTAATTGTTGTGGGCTATCTGTTTGTATGTTTCAAGTTTCGTTTTCTTTCAGCCACTTGTATTTAGTCATTCCTCAGATAGTAGTTATGTAGGAATCCGTAAGCAGTCGTTTGTTGATCATCGCGTATTAGTCTAGATGCATCAACGAGCATTCTTAGTGATTCAACTAATGACTTTTCACCTCAATTATTGATATCGGTCAAAAATAATTTATACGCTTATTGTAATCAAAAAAGTTTCATTAATAGTAAAACAGAACTAATCTATTCTCTCTAACATTGATCAAATGAGATAAAAAAATTCATTTCAAACTGGTCACAGAAGGAGGAGGATTAATTAGTTGTCTTTCATATTTTCTTAACTTTCCGAACAAAATCAGTACTAGAATAAATTAAAGCAGAAAATTTAAAAAATAAATTCCATTCATATAAATATGCATAATTCAGATTATAACATATCTATCACACTGGTTTATTTCGTGCCTAAAGGTTAATTCATTATTTAATACAACATTGAACAAAAACTTGAAACCATATGTTCAATGTTGAAATATTCATTCGGAAAACATGGTTTTCAACTTTAAAACAGTTTGCAAAGGATATTTTATACAAAAAGTACAATGAAAAATATTAATATTCTCTTAAATAATGGAGTATAAACATCCAGTCCAAGAATTAGATCCTAACTACACCTATTTAGTTAGGCTATATTGAAATTCATTAAATAGGAATTAAAATACATAAGAACTTTTGTATAAATTAGAGCGAATAGTTTCACAGTATTTGAGCGCCAATTTAATGTAAGACATTAAATAGGAATAATATATTTGTAAAATCTCAGCGAATGAATTTGTAGTAAATCCAATGTTTCCTTGAAAAAACTTGGAACGGATTGCCAGGCGAAAAGTTGGATTTACTATAAATTCATTCGCTGAGATTTTACAAATATATTATTCCTA